CCCCCCTCTCATCACGACTGCATGGCGCTGGATGTTGCCGTGGATGATGTGGGAGGCGTTGGGCGTCTGGCCCAGGTAGGTCACCAGTGCGGGGGGGTTCACAAACTCGTCATCGTCCCCTGGGCGAGGGAAAAGATGCTGAGGAGAGTGCAGATGGCTCAAAACCCAGGAGTCCTGGCTCCCAGCCCCACCTGCTCTGACCCACCAGCCCCCACTCCCCTCCCAGCACCGGGGAGAGAACCCAGGAGTCCTGTCTCCCAGCCCCCCCGCTCTAACCCACCAGCCCCCACTCCCCTCCCAGAGCCCAGGTGAGAACCCAGGAGTCCTGGCTCCCAGCCCCCCCTTCTCTAACCCACCAGCCCCCACTCCTCTCCCAGAGCTGGGGGGAGAACCCAGGCGTCCGGGCTCACCTTTGAAGATGAAATCCGCCTGCCCGCAGTGCGCCCCCACCCAGCGCAGGAAGCAGCGCTCCTTGAGCGACAGGTTTTGGTGGCTCTCAGCGAAATCCCACAGCACCACGTCCCCAAACTCCTGGCTCTCCCACTCCAGCAGGGCCAGGTGCCGGGGGTCGGGGGACACCCCCACGAGGAAGACGGCTCGGACCCGGTAGCCCCCCAGGACCCTGGGCCGGGCCCACGTGCGGCGGGCAGTGGCCCGTCTGGCGCTGGATGCTGGGTGGGATTTCACGGCCAGGAGCAGCAGGGGCAGCCCCGGGGGCCCGGTGCAAACCCCGTCCCCTGGGATCAGCTCCCGGCACCGGTAGCTCTGCAGCTGGGGGAACTCGGCCCGGAAGGCGGCGTAATCCAAGCGGAAGGTGAAGGTCCCGTCGCTCAGCTCCACCGAGCCACGGCTGGGGTTGGGGCTGGGGCTGAGGCCGGCCTGCGGGGTCTCTCTCTGCTTCAGCCTCACGGTGTAGGATAGCCAAATAAAACCCCCAATCAGCAGGATGCAGGCACCCAAGCGCTTCATCTCCACTCCCCCCAGGGCTCGGCTGAAAGTGAAGCATAGATAGGCGGAAACTCGCCCAGGGTGTGTTGAACATACACTGGGGCAGGACTGAATGTCTCACTCAGGACACCTGGTGTAACGATGCGGTTCTGGCGGAACCCAACTGAGAGTGCCAATTCAGGACAAATTGCTCAAACAGGGCAGTTACAGCCCAAGGCTGGGGTTTTTCCGCCTCTAAGGCAAACCAAACCAGCCAGACGGAGAGGACTTTGGTCTCACCCCACTGGCTAACCACAAGTCACACAAGCAATTCCCTCAGACACTCCAGTTTCCCAGTATCCCCACCAGTGCCACTTGTTATGGGGACGAATGGTTATGAAAACCAATACCCCAGTAAAAGAAAAAGGTTCTCCCGATCCCAAAGGATCAAGCCCCAGACCCAGGTCAATAGACAAGTCAGATCTTACCCACAAATCACGCTGTTGCCAATCCTTTAGAATCTAAAATCGAAAGGTTTATTCATAAAAGGAAAAAGATAGAGATGAGAGCTAGAATTGGTTAAATGGAATCAATGACATCCAGTAATGGCAAAGTTCTTGGTTCAGGCTTGCAATAGAATAAACTGCAGGTTCAAATCAAGTCTCTGGAACATCCCCAGCTGGGATGGGTCATCAGTCCTTTGTTCAGAGCTTCCGTTTGTAGCAAAGTCCCTCCAGAGGTATGAACAGAGGTGAGCTGGAACCGGTTTGCAGGAACTGGTTGTTAAATTTAGAAGCCATTTTAGAACCGGTTATCCCACACGGGACATCTGGTTCTAAAAGGGCTTTTAAATTTAACAACTAGTAAAGCTCCGGCAGCTCCCTGCCCTGCCCCCGGCCCCAGCTCACCTCCCCCTCCTCCCCTGAACGCTCCGCCCCCCTTCTCCTCCCCCTCCCCTGCTTCCCGTGAATCAGATGTTTGCGCGGGAAGCCTGGAAACAAGCAGCAGCAGGTAAGCTGGGGCGGGGGGGGCGCGCGAGGAGGGCTCCAGGGAGGCGCGGCGCGGCCCAGTCTGGCTCCGGCTGAGCGGCTCCCTCCGTAAGCGGCATGGTAAGCGGCCAGGGGTGGGTTGGATAAGGCAGGGGCAGGGAGCGGGTGTGTGTGTGGGGTGGATCGAGCAGAGGTTTGGGGGGGCGGTCAGGGGATGGGGAAGGGGGGGTTGGGTAGGCGTGGGAGTTCCGGGGGTCTGTCGGGGCGGTGGTGGATGCGGTCGGGGCAGTGAGGGGACAGGGAGCGGGGCGAGTTGGGTAGGGGGTGGGGTTCTGGGGGGCAGTTAGGGTGGGGGGTCTTGGGAAGGAGTGGTCAGGGGACAAGGAGCGGGGGGGTTGATGGGTTGCGGTTTCTGAGGGGGACAGGACATGGGTGGAGGTTGGAGGGGGGGGGATATGCACTCACCGGGCGGTTCCCTACCGGGTCTTCGGCGGCGGGTCCTTCACCCACTGGAGCTGTGCCGCCCAAGACCCGGTAGGGAACCGGTTCCTAAGATTTTGGCAGCTCATCACAGGGTATGAAGCAGGATTGAAGACAAAATGGAGACGAGGCATCAGCCTTTTATAGTCTCTTCCAGATGTAAGAACACCTCTTTGTCCTTACTGTGGAAAATTACAGCAAAATGGAGTCTGGAGTCACATGGGTCAGTCCCTGCGTACTTTGCTGAGTCACAAGGCGTATTTGCCTTCTCTCAATGGGTCAGTTGTGTAGCTGATGGGCCTTAATGGGCCATCAAGCAGGCTAGGCAGAGCTGACACCAACTTGTCTGGGGTGTCTCCCAGAAGAGCCCAAGTGTGAAATACAGACAGTGTACAGCGAATACTGATAACTTTAAATACAAAATTGATACACACGTATAGACAGCATAATCCTAACCAGCAAACCATACCCTTGTCTTAGTCACCTCATTTGACCCCCTTTATACAAGATTTGGTGCCACTACAGGACCTTGGTTGCCACCATGTTCTATATGGTCCCAGTTCAAGTTAATAACGTGACACCCCCAACGCAAAATTGATGCAGGAAGGGATGACACAAACATCACTGACTGCATCCCAAGAACCCCCATCCTTGGGTCTGTCTCACTACGGCTGGTATTGGGTTAGAAGCCATATTAGTGTATAACAGAAACGGTTTTATCAAAGTCACGTTCAATAACATGACTGAATCTCTTTACAAACTCAAGGTAAAACTTGGTTAGAACAATAGTGGATTGGATCCGCTCTTGCAGCAGGATTCCTGTATGTCTCATGTGATCTCGCCAAGAGCTAAAGGAAACAGCTACTTTATCCATACAAGCTCTGGGAAATGTTTGGAACCCAGTTAACATCAAATTATTGTAGATATTAACGTTGTTCATAATACAGGAATCTTGGCATTTAGCCATGAAAGCAATATAGTAGTGTGCCTCAGTTTCCCTTTTCATACAGCACATCAGGTCTGGAATGTCTTTTCCCCTGTGAAAAGTTCCAAGACTGTTTACAGGCAGTAACTGTGAAACATTAGGATAACAAGGCCTTTTAACAGAAAGTGTGTTCTCATGTAGTCCTTTTAACATGTTCAAGGGATTTTGCAAAAGATTAGGCACATTGTACATTTTTACAGTTTTTGGTAATAGCGACACATTCGTTATAAAAATTACCATCAGCAATAACAACAAATCCATTGCAAGTGTCCACTTACAGTCATGTTTGTCATGCCACACCTTTGGCCCAATACCATTGGGATTTGGGCATTTTAGGGTTCCCCTGTGGCTTCCCTCTGCAAAATGAAGGGCTTTCTTTCCTCCTTGTCCTGGAGGATCAAACCCTGATTTCTCTTGCTTAACAGAATTCATTAGCTGATTGGGTGGGCTCTCCTTGCTACCGGCTACTAGCAAGTCTTTCTTCTGCTAGTCAGTCAGGTCATTCGTATTACCACAGACACTAGCTTTTAGATTCTCAGCTGCTACCCATTTCAAGGGCAGACACTCATTCTTCCCTTCAGCAGGATGGGGGTCTTTCCCTCCACACCTTTTTTCGAGAAGGTTGAAAATGGAAACTTCCTGCTCACAGGAATTCCTTTGCTGCTTAGGTGTGTTACCAACTGCCGACCCTGACGCACAGACTGCTCTTACAGAATTAGCATGGAGACCTTCCTGTCCCAACACCATTGTCTTCCCAACAAGTTGGCCACACACAGCCACTTGGTCATAGGGCTGTTTAAATTCCTCAACAGCTTTTACTCCATCTGAGACCTTCTCAGAGTTATTCTTTCAAAAGGAAAGTCAGTGGATCCATTCACCACAGAAAATTTCTGGCTGTTAGGGACTGAAACTTTCTTGATCAAATCACTTTCACACCCTGGGAGGGATAGCTCAGTGGTTTGAGCATTGGCCTGCTAAACCCAGGGTTGTGAGTGCAATCCTTGAGGGGGCCACTTAGGGGTCTAGGGCAAACGTCAGTACTTGGTCCTGCTAGTGAAGGTAGGGGGCTGGACTTGATGAGCTTTCAAGGTCCCTTCCAGTTCTAGGAGATAGGATATCTCCATTTAATAATAAAAAAAGACTACCCCAAGGGTTCCTTTCCCCAGAAGCTTTTCTAAGCAACAGTTCACCCTTCACAGAAATTCTGCCCTTACCCACTTCACCTAGGGCTTGCTCTAAAGAAACACTTCCCTGAGCAACAACAGACTCTGTCTGGGTCTTACTCACATTCAGGATCACCTTTGGCCCATCAGGCGGATTCCTACACAATCCCCTTTCAGGCAAACCCACAGACTCACTGGATAAAAGGTTAGACGCGTTCTCCTTCCCTTTGCCACACACAAGTTCAGGAATCTTGTCCTTCTTGCTACAAGTTGTCAAACTATTAGTAGGTAACACAATCATAGACTCATAGACTTTAAGGTCAGACGGGACCATTATGATCATCTAGTCCGACCTCCTGCACAACGCAGGCCCCAGAACCCCACCCACCCGCTGCTGTAACAACCCCCTGACCTGTGTCTGAGCCACTGATGTCCTCAAATCGTGGTTTAAAGACTTCAAGTTGCAGAGAATCCTCCAGCAAGTGACCCGTGCCCCACGCTGCAGAGGAAGCGAAAACCCCCCAGGGCCTCTCCCAGTCTGCCCTGGAGGGAAATTCCTTCCCGACCCCAAATATGGTGATCAGCTAAACCCTGAGCATGTGGGCAAGACACCAGCCAGCACCCGGGAGAGAGTTCTCTGTAGTAACTCAGATCCCACCCCATCTAACATCCCATCACAGGCCATTGGGCATAAAAGCTCGAGGAAATGCTTTTTTGACAAATCAATTCCTTACGGGGCGTATTCATACAGAGCTCAGAGTAAGAATCCATTGAAACTACAATACAGACCCGTGGTCCCCGCCCCCCACAGAAACAGGGCAAAGGCTGGGGGGAGTCGGGGTCACGGAGGGGCTGGGGGGGGCAGTAAATTGCTGGGAAGGAGCCTGGGTGTGAACTTGGAGGGTTTTGGGGTATGGGGGGGGGACAGTCTGGAACAGGTTTCTTGGCGGGGTGGGGAGGAATTGTTAGGGAGCCTCCCCCATGCAGACCCTGGCTGCCCCGAGCCTCTCCCAATCAGTCAGGCCCATCTGCCCCTGTCCCCATGTGTTCCTGCACCCCCATGTGTCCTTCCACCCCCTGTCCGCATGTGTCCTTCCACCCCCACTCAGACACCCACTCCCCATATGGCCCTGAACCCCCTCCCCCTGTCCCCATGTGTCTCTGTGCCCCCACCCAGCCACTCCCATGTGACTGGTGCCTCCTAGAGGAGAAAGGACCTGTGCCCCATTCTCTCCCCCCCCCCCCCCCCCCCCCCCCCCCCCCCCCCCCC